AGAAGTGAGCAGCAGGAGATCAATATTGGCTTGAGGAAAATAGTTCCGACAAGGGGTAGGGTGGCGAAAGCGTGTTTTTTTCTGAAGAGAACTCAAATCTGTCACTCCATTGCAGTCAACGACCAACAATTATGACTTATATCTGTTAGGAGTTACCTCGTGTTTATGTATAGGTGATTAAAAAAAGGAAAAGTCAGAGGATGRATGACAGATTTACCAAAGTGATGTGTAGGCTGGATTAGGGTTTGGATTTAATCCCCCTATGAGTGAATCTGAATCAAGTKAAAGCATTCAAACACATAAAGTTGTTGATTGAGACTATGTGACAGTGGTTTTATCACTCATTGCTATKTTTCTCACTTGTCATTAATTCCAGGTCAGTGGTTTTTACCCGCTGCTTTTGGTTGGTGAAGCGTCTGTCCACGGCTCTGAGATGGGCGCGGGTCAGAGGGGAGGTTAATCACAGTGTATAATGGCTTGTTGTTTGAATTATATTTCAGCTGCTAAATGGCTTTGGAAATGGCATAATGTGCTTTCTCCCCCCTCAGGGCAAGAAATTTGTCAAGTTTATTTAATCACGGCCATGTGCTGTGATTTCCATATGTTTCCAGTTAAAATAACATTCTCGTTTTCAATAGCAACATGATGAGGTAAGCGGTGATAAAAATACCCCTTTTAACTGATTGTACCTCTGTGGGCAGATTTGCATTATCTGGTGGGTGCCTTGTCCTGGGGGTGTGCTCACACATGCCCGAGCTCAAGACTCATTACTCACCCTAATTAGGAAATGTCCGTTCTAGACTCCTCTACCCTCACTCAGAGACGCAATCTCACTATGGAAATACTCTGCAGAGGTGAAAGGTATCTACAAATCTAATCAAATCGATGTTTAAATCAAAGACTCTGACTAGCACTAAGATGTTGTAACGCAGGCGAGTGGAGTCATCATTAACATCCAATTACCCACTAATATATAGTGTCCTTCAGACGTATCCTTCAAATTTACTTGGAAAATCTTTGTGAAAATAAATGAATCCCTCAGGCACACCCTATTTTTATTCTCTGTTCAATAGCCAGCGGAGGAAGAATGCCTAATAACTTATTAAGCTTGTTGTTCCCAATACAAAGAAAATAATACTTAATTAACAGCAAAATGAGCTGCTGAACTCTTGGTTWAAGGTCAACACCTTATAACTTGTGCACATAACCAAGATCAACATGAAGTCAAATATTAATTTTTAAATTAATCATCTTAGGTTCACATTGTGGTGCGCTGTCATTTAAATTACCCATTTGAGATGTGCATGCAAGATCTGTTTATGGATGATAGATGCAAAAAAAAGTCTCAATTCAGAGCACCTGTCTAGTTTACATCAATCGGATATTAGGTTCCATAAGAACTCAATCTCCCCAGAGGCCCTTAACACTCAAGTGTCTTTTCATTTAAGTAGATCCTCAGGCATTCATTAGATTGTGCATCGGTTGTTGTGCATTGCGAGGGGAAAGGAATCAGAYCTGTTGAGGGACGGATTTGTGAAGCCCATCTGATTGTCTCAACAGAGAGTGACTTTCTGCACTTGGTATWATCTGGACTCGGGAGTGAAAAGCCAATCAAGAATGTGTCTGCTGAGCACCCTGCGTTTGGTCATTGTGACCCCCAGGTTCTGCAGCCAAGTCAACCGTTTTCATGATGAACGACAGGTCACAGTGCTGCGAGTCAGTGGAACATAATGTCAGTTTAAATGCTGCCACACAGCTCTCTCCACCAGTGACAGAGCTCTACAGGGAGCGGAGGTAAAGGCCATTCTACTATGATTAGGGGTCAGAGGTGTATGTGTGTGTGTGTGTGTGTGTGTGTGTGTGTGTGGGTAGGTGGGTGGGTGCATGGGATAGTGTGGATCAGATAAATGCCTTCCACAAAATCGAGCTCTTTCCCAGGAAATTGTTTCAGTCAAGTTTAAACAGCAGCGGTAAAAAGAAGCTTAAATATGCAAACAAATTCAGAGGKATTTTTCTCAGTTTATGCCAGACAAAAGTATATGTAGAACACACCAGTCAAATGTATTTACAGCTCTGTACATTAAGAACGACCATCTTCTTTAATTCTTGGTCATAAAAGTTACGTCTTTTGATATGGCCAGATTTGCCGTCTAATAAATTAGACCTATGGCACAAGAGCACTGATCACCACTTTCAAATTCAAAGGATCACTTCACAGAATGGGCATTGCCTAACTACAACAATAATTAGCTTCTATTGTAGCTATTACCACTTGCATTTTCTTATCTTTCCACTGTCTGGATGGTTTTCCTTGAGGTTTTGAATAAATAAACGAGAGAGTGCATTAATTAACTTTGTGGAATCATTCATAAATTTGCTGATGAATTGATAATTGAAGTCAGTAATGACAAGTGTTCATGCCGATGACTGAATGAGGCACAGCCAATTTTTTTTTCTTTTCTTTTTAACACGGCCATTGGCTTTAGCGTACTGACAGTCTGTAGTTTTTTTTTTTTTCTTCTGAACTTGGTGTACTTTTCCTCCCTTTATGTAATAATCAGATGAATATGTTCCTCACAGGTAAATTTCTCGTTTCGGAGTGTGGGCAGAGGGGGACGTGGGCGGGAACTCAGAGGCTACACTTAAGGGCATTTCCTCTAAGGGGCAGTCCAGATTGGCATCATGACCGCTGTTGGAGTAGGCACTGCGGGAAGGCGGAAGGTGCGAGCGGTGCTCCTGGCCACCCAGTCTGGCGCTTCCATTGGCCAGGCGTCCCAGACTCCCTCTCTCCTGYTAAGGCACGAAGGTGGAGAGTTTGGGGGGGTTCCTGGTCTTGCGCACGGGGGAGGGATGCCCAGGCATCCAGCAGGCATCTGAGTGACCCAATTCGCTGCATTCCGTCGTGCAGTTTCCAGTCATTGCCACGTCAGGGAGGGAGCGAATGTCTGTGGACAAGTAGGAAACAACACTTTCAGACAGAGCCTCATACTGATACACATTTGCGCAATAATCATCGAAAAAAAAGTTAGGAAAAAATGGCATTTGAGAACAGAAATGGTGTCATCAGAATCACCCCATGAATCCATGAATCCCCCCGCCCAATTTGAGGTCTTTGCAGCTGTTGCTAAGCAGTCGGCAGCAGTTGCTATGTAGCTGTCGCTATGCACTGTGTAATGAGTGTYCGTCGTCCACAAGCTGGTGTGGTAGATGCAAGAGGCGACATGCTGTGCCTTTGTCATTTCGAAGTATCCCACAGCAGTTCGTCTGGTATATGTGTAATATATCATCACATTGTTAATATGTTCAACAGCAATATATTTCTATTTGATGTGATTTGCACGCTGCGAATGGTGCATCAAACATGTATCAACACAAGGAAAAAAATGGAAAAAAAAAGCAAATTACACCAACCACTCATACTYCAACATGCAGAGTTCAGTTACAAAGGGAATAGCTGGATCCTTTAGGGTAAAGGAGGAAAAAAAACATTGCTGAATGAGTTATTGATTGACAGTGCTGAAATGAGTTCCCTGCCCTTGATTATCATCCATTTTTTATTCAACTCTTCCTAATTAAATAAATGGGTCCACAACCCAGTGACCTCATTTTAAGCCGCGGAAGCTCCAAAATAAGTATGCTTTAGCTATCATTCGAGTGCATCACAGGCATCCGAAAGCAAATCCTGCACCAGGGAACTGATCTATTTGTTCACCATGAATGTGCAGCTGGCAGGCAACAGACTTGCCGAGCGGCACACCTGTTGACAAGCTGAACATACAGCACAGATTAAATGGAAATACCACTCAATTTATCTTTTTTTTAATCCCGTTAGACCCATGTTGGGACGGCCAAATCGATGTCTGGGAGAGGGAGCGGGCGACTCGGGTGCGAGCATTTGTGATGTTACTGACATGTAAACTTGTGATTGCTGTGATAAATGTGTTGCTCTAATTCCCCACAACCGCCAGCACCATGTCCATTACGGATGCTCCGTCTTGTTTCGTGGCTACAGGATGGTGTGTGACTGAAAGGAAATGTATTCTCGGAGAGGGGCTGAGGGCACCGCACAGCACGCCGAAATATGTTGAATGATGTGACCACAAGAGATGACATACTGGAGGCAGAAACAAGAGTTCATAGTTAACAAAGGGAATGCCAGCTTGACAGTAAGCCTAAGAGACATACCATCAGTATTGTACTCATGATCACTGGCAAGATAATTAGCCCACAAAATGTCAGATTATTGATGGTGGAAAAAATTGCATCTGGTTCACCAAGGCTTCCTTCAATAAAAAGAGAAAGAGACAGCACATGTGTTAAGATTTAACTGCTTAAATAGGACATAATGGTGGGTATATATTTTCATTTCATTGTCCCCATCAGCACCTATTTATTTCTTGCTGGTAATCCATATACAAATGTCTCATTGTTTATTGTGGCAATAATAATTGGATGGAAAAGAATGCATAGTGTGAGCTATTGTTGCAGTTAATTTCATTGTTCCTGTAATCCTAAATAGCTAGATGTTTAGGCTCTTTAATGCATTTACTTCACAGTTGGGCAATGCACTCTTTTTTCATGCCTAATTATATTAGGATGCTTCTTTCTGTTTACCAGGTCATTGTCATTTAGCTAATAATCTCTCTAAACGAACGACTATACTGTTTTGCTTAATTTATAATAAGAAAAGTGAAACAGAGCTGCAGGAAACAAAGACACAATGTATTTTTGTGTGTGCATGTGTACCTCTTCATGTGTGATGTTTTATTTGTTTCCYCTCTGCTACAAGTGTTGCCTAAACCTTTGAAAATTTGCTTTTCTTGCAGAAGGAAGGAGGAAAGTCGGAGGAAGGTTTGAGGAGTGTGCTGTTTAAGCACAAGCACAGCCATGTGGGCATCTACCCCAAACGGATTTCACACTTGATTAAAACTTCTTCACAGCTTTCAGGAGGTTTACGTTTCACTGTGAGGCCTTGTGCTAAAATCGGAGCAACACTGCATCTACAGATCAGTGAACTGCATGCATTTTATGTAGGCACTTTACAGGCTAAACGTAGGTGATTTTTTTCTCTCTAAAGAAAAGAAAAGAAAAGAAAAGAAAAGAAAAGAAAATCACCACTGAACAAGTTTTATTGAAACTCCTAAAACATTATGATCAGATGTACGTCTACAACTGATTGCCATTTGGAATTAATCCAATTCAAAATAGTCAACCACAGCTAACCAGCATAAGCAAATGAATGTAAGTAGTTTATTGATATGGGACTAACATTTGATGTGGTGGTAGCTGATAGTCATTAATACATTCTGTGAGCTCTACATGTTYCATTGCCTTGCTAGAAAACTCTGGCATTTACTGTCAGAGTCAACTCTGATTTGCTGTTTTTTTAATTATTGCTATTATTTGCTTGTACTGCTGTCTTCAGACTTTTTTGTTCTTCTCAAATTTATTATAATTACACTGATACTAGATCAGCTGAGTTACCATCATTAAATGTCTTGACTGGCTGAAAAAATAACAACTGAATGAATCAATGTAAATAATTAATAAATATTATATAAATAAGTAATATCCTATATGCCCACCTAGGGCTGGATGACGTGGCTGAAAAATGTATCATGATATAAGCATTTAAGACAACATTACAATATTTTTTGTTGTAACATTATTTTTTTTAAATATTTTCTCATAATATTACAACTCTTTTCTCATAAATAAATAAATAAATAAATAAATCTTCAAAAAATGCTTCTCTGTGCAAAAGGGGTTTAAAAACTAGGTGGCATGTGCCCCACTTGGGGAACCTCTGCTTCAAGTAAACAGCTTGCCAGTGCTTGTATTTTCATTGTAATGTATGATCTCTGTTACATCTTTCAGTTCTACGAAAAAAAWWTTAAAAAATAAAAAACACGAATGACGACTCAGATGTGGTTTTCCAAATGTGGTCCATGCATGGGCCAGCAACACATAAACCATACCACGACTGGCCCACTGTGGCATGCCATCTTAAAAACATAAACATTGCCAGTCCTGGCCCATATTTGGTGACAAACAACATGAACATGAGCCAGGACAGTCTGTAGGGACTTTTTTCTTCTGAACTTGGTGTAACGACATTTGGCCCACAACTATATGCTTTGAGAAAAGAATAAAATGTGAAGACTGGTTGATACAACTCTATGTACAAAATTACTGATTTCATGTTGAATGTGCCAAAAAATAAATAGATAGATAGATAGATAGATAGATAGATAGATAGATAGATAGATAGATAGATAGATAAAAAGCTTGTTTGAACTTATTTAAATAAACACTAAGGGAAAGAAAGGAATATGACACTCTGCACTAAAGTGACAAGGATTCACACTGAACACTGCTCATCATTATCAAGGGGCAGAAAATCAGTCATGACAGCTAAATACACAAGCAGCATGCCAAAGTCATGTCATTTTTTTGTTTTATTTTTTTATTTATTTTTGCACTAGTGCCAGAGCACAAATCACATGTCATCGAGAGAGAACACAGACGCTCTCGTGCCAGCGATTTTGTAGGCCATTACCTTGTCGGTTCGAGTTTTTAACCACATTTTATTTGGTTTTATTTAAAATGGGCCTTTGAGAAACAATCTGTTCTCTACAGACAATTTAACAGATGAAAAGACGGATTCAGCTGCAAGCTGCTGTGCTGCTACATGTGATCATTAACATCCTTTAGTGTATGTAATTTCCATTTATGCACGTCACATCACAGCGGTTCTTTTTTGCCACCTCCTCTCAAACGTTTATTTTTAATGAGTCGGTTATTGTGRTGCTCTGACAGCGTGCTATGATAGGGATGTACCATTCGTGCCGAGCACAAGTTTGTACATTTGCTTGCACTGACCTTTCTGTCACGCTCAAATCCATTTTCACAAAAAGGATCAATACTGGTAATTATACGTGTGCYTCTGTGTTTTGCTGTGGCCATTAGCTGTTTGTAATGGTGTTGGAGCTCACTTAGTGTGCGGCAAAATCCTGCCTGGTCTGAAAATAAAAACACTCCCATGRAGGCATGAAATAATCATTGTCTAAATATTTGGTACTGTATGATGAAGAAATGAGTCAAGCTCTGGTTGAAAGAGCAGCCATGGACAATGCTCACTCAACCCTGGACGCTAGCTGTACTTACCTGTATACCTGACATACATCTGCTTCTACTCAATAATCTACCCTTTCAAACTTTAGAATTCCACATGTTGTCCACGGAGAGTCAACAGTGTACAAATGGTCTAATCACAGCATTATTAGTCTAACCCCGGATTTGTACTACATGCGTCTCTGCTCCGCTGTGCTGCGGTGCGCAGGTCACAGCTGTTCGTTTGGTTCTCAATTTATACAGACCCTGCTCCACTCTGGTCAGACACAGTGTGCAGGAAGGAGATCATGCGATAAATTCAGTTATAAATGTGGAAGTTACAGCAAAAAAATAATTAATCCTGTGAAGGAAGACCTCCAAACACAGCTGAAAACATTGATGTAAACGCTTTTGATATCTATGTTGAAACTGCCTCGATGTCGTCTTTCTGAAATTTCTGATTTCAAAATAAAATCCACATCATGTGTACACATTATGTTTCATGATACATGTTCTTATCTGTTTCCCAAACAGAATGATACATTCTGACAGCCTTTGTGTAGAAATATATCTGTATATTTATTAATATAGCTGCAATTTTGACATTATTCTGACAAATTATCCCGCCTAAAAGTGTATTATTTTGAAAATGCGGATGTTGTGCTCGTTTATTTTCCTGTTGGTGTGACGTAATCTTTAAAATTTGACTCCGGCGCAGCTCCGGCATCCGGCAAAAATAGGATCTGTTCTAATTTTGCCGGATCGCCGTCGCCGTGCGAAGCCAGTGTACACACACTCTTCGATTATAATGGATGCGTATTTGCTGCGGAGG